TGATCATGGTGTGCCAGCATTCTTAGCAAGCACTCCGCAGGCTTCTACAACGCCAACCAATGCACCTGTCTCTGGCGCAAGACAATGTGGGAGGTTTCGTGCACTTGAATCTTCTGTATTTGTAAACCGCTCATTGTTGGTGGTTGCCTGAATAGCACTTGTGTCATCAGAAGTCACACCTGCGCTTTTGTTTTCAGTGTTGGCAGTGAGGTTGTATGCTGGATTGCCGTCGCGTCGATCTTGTGATTGATGAACACTAGACGCTTCTGCAAAACACTTTTCTTCACAAGATGCTGATTCTGAATGCTTCTGTCTTTCTGAAACTGCTGAGTTGAATACCAAGTCAGTTTGCAAAGTACGCATGTGCCACGAAGTATTGAATTCATCTGGGTCATCAACAGTGGATTGCATTCTTTTATGCAGCGAAGAGTTGAACACTGGTGATATTTGCTCGAGTGAGGAGCCAGGTGGAAGGTTGGCAAAACGACCACGTGGTCTTTCCGTCAGCATGTGGCTAACTTCACCTGACGGGAATGGTAAATTCATGCTGTGTGCTCGAATGCTTGAAGGCTGCTTATGACTGCGATGACTGAGTTTGAATGCACTGAGAGTGTGTGTTCTAATCGAATCTTCCTTATAGTCTGGAAACCAGATGATCATTTCTTCTTTTATCTTTTGTCAAGACTCGTCGTTGTCGAATATGTGGGTGAGGTAAAATTTAAAAGCCTCACCAGTGACGTAGTCGGTAAAGTTGGCGACCATCTCCCGTTCCGACCATGATGCAGCGGTAGCGTGGAGCTCGAACAGGTCGAACCAGTCCTGTACAGGTCCATCGTCCGCTGCTCCGGTGTACTTGGGGATGGGAAGGTCGGTCGATGATTCCTTCATGATGCTCGTCGATGTGTACTGCTAGATACTGGTTTAGTAGTTCACTTATGGTCAGGGTGTCTTGCGGAGAACCTTGTCGATTATGTGCGACTGATGAAGGGGCTGCCAGGTCTTCATCCTGTCGACTCGTGAGACGCTATCATGAATGGGAGACGTGGCCTGGCTCATACGCCATGTTTATCTATTCTCACTTCTTCCTCCTCTACTTCTACAAACCATCACTTCATACGTCACATATATATATATATACGTCATCTATATATATATATATATATATATATATATATATATATATATATATCTAGATAGATAGATAGATAGATAGATAGATAGATAGATAGATAGATAGATAGATAGATAGATAGATAGATAGATAGTAGATAGATAGATAGATAGATAGATAGATAGATAGATAGATAGATAGATAGATAGATAGATAGATAGATAGATAGATAGATAGATAGATAGATAGATAGATAGATAGATAGATAGATAGATAGATAGATAGATAGATAGATAGATAGATAGATAGATAGATAGATAGATAGATAGATAGATAGATAGATAGATAGATAGATAGATAGATAGATAGATAGATAGATAGATAGATAGATAGATAGATAGATAGATAGATAGATAGATAGATAGATATGTAATCTGGCTACGCGCCTCCTTAGTGATCCCCTTCTGCTCGACTCTCACGTAGAAGGGGAAACTTGTCGGTTCGTTGGTCAACATATCGGAGTGGAATAAGCGCGAAAGACCCGTTCAGTAAAGGTACAGGGCTACGTGTGGCTGTTTCTGTACCTTTAGTCTCCCAATCTTTCACGCTGTTTCCCCAATCGCTCACAATTTAGGAACAAGCTCCGTGGACTCACATTGTTGCGGCGCACTTGTCGATGACGCGTGTAATTCACGCAAGTTGGTTCCCTTTCGGGCCGCGAATAATTTTTCTGTGTTAATAAGAAGCATATCGAAAACTCAGCAGAACTCACGAGAATATCACTTATAACCTGAGCGAGACTCACTCTGGCTCATCTCGATCTGCGATTCCGAGTGAACGTTGGCGAATTTACTCATGAGTTAGTTTGCGATGTATTAAAACAACTCTGCCCGGAGAAAAAATTTAAAACGTTCAAAGCCGATACAAAGCATTGTAAACATCAGGATAATTTCGACTTATATAGCGAAAACTTCTTGCCAAACGTGCCACTTCCCTATATGCTTTCCGATGTTGGCGTGATGTGTCTTCCTTTGGGGCGTTGGCTTAGCGACCGAAACACTGCCCTTTAATAGATAGGATTCAATGAGGCTGTGTATGGCAGGCTACAGCACGGCGACGAGAAAAGCAGAAAGAACACGGATGGTGTTTTGGCGATGGTGCCTGACACCGACCGCCGTAATATTGCGGAGAAGGGTTCAACAGCGAGCAAGCGCAGCAACGGCCGGTGCGTGATACATGGACCTTCATGTTTGGCATAAGCAGCAGTACTATGTATTTATTTCACACTGTTCCTCGTGTCGCGCTGGTCTCACGTATACATCGGCGTGGTGCGGCGATGTATACTCTGTTCCCATGGCTCTCGCTGTGTGTCTCGCACTCACACCAGTCATAGTTTCGCTCGCTTGTTTTGCTTACAAATACTAATGGAACTGACTCGAGTCCGAGCAGGAGTGGGAACGTTGTTATACGTGGACAGTACCAGGTATATTACATGCAGAGGGTCATAAGTGTATATCGTATACTTACTCGCTGGATTCCGTGCCGACCGGTGGTGCCCTCGCGATCTCCGACGTCAGCGTAGCTCTGGCCGACTGGGCTGATCCTACGTCACCTTCTGGCGCCGATCTCCGACGACAGTATAGGTCTGACCTACTGGACTAAGCTCGACGCCATCTCCTGACGCCGACAAGAGCTCTCGCAAGTGGTGCCCCGTCCTCGGACTCCTGTGACCGCGTTTCCATCTTACCTATCTCTCCTATCCCCTCGATATGTCCTCGCTCGCTGGCTTAGCGCATCTCTCTTTCTCTACACCTTTGTTCCTATCCTATAAATCCCTCATCACAGCATCCCCTGTGAGCTACTGTTGAGGTATCGCACCGTGATGCAGACAGTTACGGGGCTCACTTTTCTCTTCTTTTCCCTCTCTTAGAATCACTTCAGTGCATATGGTAAAATTGTGTGTGGAGGGAGGGGGGTGCGTACATGTGTGCATGTGTGTTTGCGTGTGCGTGCGCGTATATGTGCACGTGTGTGGGGTGGCGGAGTATACACGTTCGCGCCCGTTTCTATGTTTGTCTGTGCTAGTACGGTTGTTAACTCATTGGCGGGTAAAGAACACTGTGCATGTTTCTTCCGCCAGAGAACAAATCTGGTCCTCCGTGACACAAGAAATCTTATTCGTTCTCACTATAAACGCGAAGTTTCTCGTAAACGTGTAGCTTGCAAGAGCGGTTCCGCCTCTTATTAAAAAACGGTCTCTCAAAATCACGAAGAAGCGAGAACGCGATGTAACAAAAAAAAAACTAGATTCATACGGATGAGTGCCACCACATTTATCAGCGAGTGCTTATCGCATTTGATGCATGCGAGGCTGTACCTTACTTCTTTTTGCTTCTTTACAACGAAACATGTGCCTGTCTGTGATTATAGCAAAAACTTTGTGGCTGCTGGTTACGGCACCGCTGCCAATGTGTTCGATTCGGTGTCCCGGTCACTGAAGGGCCGGGATTACTTACGCGATCTAAGATTCTAATTGAATTCAGACGCAGACTGGGAAGAAAAGCCTGGCCTAAATCTCGGATACGCCCTAAGCATTTTACAAGTATAATTTGTAATGCCCACAAACGCCACCCTAACGAGCCCAAGTGCTCCAGATGCCTTAGCGTGCTGGTAGGAGAAATCGGCGACAGTGAGAGTATAGTTGTGTTTGACTGTACAATAACTACCGTAGTTTTCGCTTTAAGCGCGGAAACCAAGAAATAACGTATTATTACCACGGTTTATTAAGTTTTGTTTAGTCAGCCCGAAAAACTACCGCAGTCGAGCGGGAAAGTTAGTCTGCTCCAACAGCGCAGGTACGACGGCGTTGTGAAACAAACTGTATAGTGGTTCCACTCATCCCAAACGTGCTACTAAAACGAATATGAGACGTGTTCCACAAAAGAACATTAGGTAACTGCTCTCTTTCAGTTGTGTTTATGTGTTCTGTTGCAGCTGCGATATGAGAGGCAGCAAGGACACCTTGTTGAAGCATAACGTCATCACACATCATCTTTAATGTAAAACCTGGGTGCAACACCGGTGTGCACTTTATGCATGGCGACTCGTGTACTGTAGCATGCACATTCACTCTAACAAACAGTACTTACACACTTCAGACGGTTGCTACCAGCGTAGACCACACAACACAAGTTATAGGAGGAGTCTCTAATTAGCTCGGAAACCTTCGCGAAGCACATTTATTAGGACTAGTATAAGCATTTGTTATGGGAAAAAGATCACATTCACTCTCCCACATATTCACCTGACAAGGCCTGAGGAAGATAAGGTGAATTCACTGATACGCAAGCTCTATATACGTTTGCTCGTGGTGTGCCAAGAACAGCCTCTACTGAGAAACTCTTTGCTACAGGCACCTCGAATACCTTCAGTGAGTTCGCAGCAGCCCATTCGACAGCTCAGTACCAACGTTTATTGAACAGCTGCACTCGTATGCGTATTTTAACCTCCCTAAATGTTACCCCAACACCGATGAACAAACATACATTAAATATTATTCACCAGATTCATGAGAACTTTGCTGTCCTTCCTCTTCCTAAATATATGCATTCCCTTCACCATGAGCATAAGACACCAACGAGCTAAATTGCTTCAGAATTTTTTTTTACTGCGATGATTTGGTGAATGTCGATGTCGTAAAGTAAGCGTGTGGACAGAAATTCGCCTTATCAGTTGTTGACTCCACCGGCAGTGTTGCAACGGCCACATCCATTTGAGCCTCGTCTTCGGAAGAGGCGGAGGAGGACACGGTGGCACTCGCCGCCATGATTGGTATTTCGTCCGTCATAGTGATTCAAAAACCATCTACATGTACAGTTTAGAAAAGCAATGATAGTATAAAAACAGTTTATTCGTCTCACAAACCTTGTGTGGGATCTTTATTACAATAACAAGACCAACTCTTCTTATCATTAACAAACCATAACTCATTAACATCGACTGTGATGCGAAGCGAACAAAACCCTCCGTTTGTGACCACGTGGTCCAAAATCTGTGTATAATACTGATTATGTACAAATGTATAACAGCTATAACGCCGACCTCGCCGTTACAACTGCAGTCGAGATCATTAGAAACGACACGAAATCCGGGTACCTACTGCAGTATTGTGTGGTACATAACGGGACTAAGTACCTAGCTGTGACAGTGTGTATATGTCCATGCATGCCTATGTCTCGTGCAGAGCGTTTGGCGCATCTGTGATAACTCGGTAACGTGGACGAGTTATCTAATTACCACGTGTATATGTATGCGTCCGTCAGCTTCAAGGGGACCAGATTGTTCACAAGCTTTAAAATAAATATTGATTCGTGGACCGATCAATCTGGCCGATTACAACAGGGAACTTCGTAAAGGTGAAGATCCCATATCCGAATGAAGCTGTCTCGACGCTTTTCATGTGCTGTGTACATGCACCTGGTATTAAAGCGAAAATTTCTTGCACACTTGCTTGATTGATGTTTGATTGATTGATTGATTTATCAATTGATTGATGTTTAAACGCAATGGATTAACGATGTAACGCCATCGTCCTGTCGGGTCATGAAACCAGAACCTTGTAGTTCCCCCTACATTGTAAGACCTCGCGCCTATGCGACACATCATCACGCGGCTACTTCTTGTCTTATGGCGCCTTTAAAAAACAACGCACACACAAAACCTGTGGTACCTGTTTTCAGACGACGCTCCTGCGCCGTTTACCGACCGAGTACGCTACAAGGGCAACGATAACCACAACGACCACAGCCCCAGCGACAATGAGCCCGATAAGCGCCCACGTCGGCAGGCCCTTCTTCGGCTCCACGTGGGGCGGCGGCCTTTCGAACGTGACCCTCGCAATGTTGGACACCGACGAAGAGAGTCCCTTGTCGTTCCACACTCGCGCGGCGAAGTAGAAATCCACGAGCGATCGGTTATTCGCGACTGCCACCAGCTCGCTGGGCACAGAGGTCCGCAGTCGTTGCCTGGAGCCGACGGCAGCCGAAGTTATGTGGCCTTGTTCCGTGGAGTTGTCGCGGATCTCGTGGGCCTTGTCGAAGTCCTCGAGCAGGTTGTTCAAGAGCGTGCTCACCCGGAGTTCAACTCGAGAAGCTGCACGAATAAGAATCGTAATGCAGAAAGTCTGGATAGTAAAAATGAATACCGGTCATTTGGCGAGCTCGGCTTCTATGTCTATAACATAACGTCTCTCCAACGCTGCTGCTTTATCTCGTTAGACGTACGCCTTCTGGCGCAGCTGTCAGTTGTGGAATGCTATATGGTGCAGCCTGTCTGTCCCACACGCGGTTGGCACGTCATGACAACGCCATTTGTGTCATGTATGCGACGTATCGTGATTTACATTGATGCCATGAGCGAAAAGTGTCACTCTTCAATACTGATACGGAGTGCTCACTGATAGCAGTACAACTATACATGCTATGATTGCACCTAATCAGAGCGGGTACAGGGCTTAGTTACTTGAAAGGACGTACGCCCATGCAAGCAAAGTGAGTTCCACCATGGTGATGGCGAAACGGGAAGATAGGGAGCTTTTGTTACGCTTGGTCCCTTCATTGCGTGGGTCTCTCCCTTCGCGCCTACTCCTGGTGCCATTTTTGCATGTCATGCTTATTCGGCAAAATAGCTAGCTCCCATACACCACGAATGGCGTTACCTGGACGCTCCTGGTGAAGCATGCGCGCAAATGTACGCTGCGAATCCGTAAGTATACTTCGCTGTACAAGCCTGCTGTGCGTCTACGCACGTGTGTGTCTTGTGTGCTTTCATATTTTCTATCAGTTGTGCTAGATCCTAGTCCATACAGATTGCTATACACAAACAAGACCAACGTGCAACCGTGCTATACTCACCGTTTCCAAAGTTCAGGTGAGCTCCCGGGCAGGTCCAGGACAAGATGACCTCGTGCGCATCGTCTTCACCGACGAAAGAGTCGTCCACGCTCAGGTCCTGAATGGAACCCGGCGGTATCGTCGACGTGTCGATGTTGCTGGCGACCCGGAACGATCCCCCTTCGGCATGACGCACAAACTCGGGTGCTTTTTCACTGGACACGATTTGCGGCTCGGCCTCTTCGATGTCCTGGTCTATGTAGACGAACTGGTCGAATGGAATTCCTTCAGCTTCATTTATGACTGCCGTGGTAGCCGGGTCTTCTACATAGAGTACAGAATAATATGTAAGACAATCATACGATCAGGCCCGGAAAAGTGTTCTCGCTAAACTTGAGGATACTTTCGAGCACCAGATGACAGCAGTGCATGTAGCGCAGTTTAGTTGGTAACAACCTAACAGTAAATACAAGCTCCACCCATAGAACCCTGCCGCATTGGTCAGTAAACTATTTAAGAGGGACGTTCAGTGTGATGAATAGATTTTTATTTGAATGCAAAAAAAAACGGAGAGGGTCCTCATTTCGGAACACCTGTGACAACCTCTGCGACAGCCCGGGCCTGCTGAAGGAGCACCCGAGTGACCTCGGGGGCGCCGTCCCGAAGGGTATCTACCCACTGCTCTGGGGTATGGGTGTACCGAAGGATATGTGGGTGGGGAGGGAAGTACGCAGCGCTACATTCTACGAAGACGTGAATGGTAGTTGAGATAGCCCATCCCGGGCTGGGGTCCGTATAGCGAGTCGGGCATATTTTATGCATGAATCACATATTTAGGAGTTCGGGTAAGCTAGCCGGCGTAGTGCGAGAGAGAGAGAGAGAGAGAGAGAGAGAGAGAATATGTAAACACTTATTGCACAAAAAATCTGTGACCAAAGCATGAGCCCGTTACATGGTCGGCGTCCCTAGTCCGGGACACCACATGACGAGGTCGCGACTTAAGCCCGTCTCGTCAAAGTCTGTTGAGACTCCAGCGGGGAGCATTTGAGGCAGGGCCAGTTTCCCACGCCTCTCGGGAATGGGTAGAAGAAGGGGGCACGTGGGGATTTTTCGCACATGCCCACACCATGTGGAAGATGTCACAGGTCTCCCCACTGTGTGGGCACCGCCCAAGTGTTTGATGATTGCAGGACATAGTAGATTACGCGTCTGCAGGTGCCTTGAAGTTCGCTTATCCGATTTACTCAGCCCCTTTGCAGGAGCTTGGAATGACAGTGAGTGTCAAATCAAATCAAATCAAAAATCAAATCAAATCTTTATTTGTCTCAAAAAATATACACGCATTGGGACCGCAGCAGCGGTGTATTGGCCTCCGAGTCAAAGGAGCTCGGCTGAGGAGCCCGGTGGGTAAGCGCTCGGGCGACCACGTCAGGGTGGCCTCGTTACCACGTAAACTCTTATGGCCAGGTGCCCAACTAATGGGTTTCCGGGTTAGATCAGCGACAGCCTGTCTTATAATACGGCTAGCTAAGAAGGATATTTACCCTGCTGGGTGGTATCTGTTAATATTGTCTTCGAATTGTGATCTGCGGCAGCAAGCGCTATCGCCACTTCCTCAGCCCGCTCATAATTTTGTGTCCAGAAGAAGAGCCCGTTCACGTGCATTCCCTGGTGAACTGCAGCGGCCGCGTAAAATCCCTTGGGCCTCGGCCCTGATATGTCTACGTGGTAGGCCGGGAACGGCATTGTCTTTCAAGCGTACGAGCCCACACTAGTCGCCTGCTTTCGTGCGTGGGCGTGTACATGTTAGTTGGGAGCGGGCAGACCCAGAGCATTTGGCGGCCAAGTTCTGGAATACGCTCCGCCTCCTCCGGAGTGCAAGTGCGTTAAATGTGGAACCGATTGAGCAGGTGCCGCCTGGGTGACGTCTGCATAAGCCTCGCATAGTGATTTATGAGGTGCGCTTCCCGTATAGGAGTTGAGCACACCCAACGCCCTGAGTTTTGTGTTGGGGGGGGGGGGGGGAGTAGCCATAGGGAGATCCAGAGCTTTCTCTGTAGCATCGCGGATAATGGCGTCAATTCTTTTCGGGGTCTTGCTTATTTGTGCGAAGGTGTGGCACAGCCTCCTCTCGTGTGAAGGATACCAGCGAGAGTTGGCATTGCTGTCATTGGCGTATCTAATGCAGTGCGACTCGCGGTTTGCTTTACAGTCGCGAAAATTTTACTGTGGCAGTGTGAGTAGCACGGGTACAGAAAAGTAAGGGTTATATCGTTCATACTTAAAATATGATCTTCGGCTGTGCTGCGACGTCAGAATGTGTGATGAAATGGGCCTGGACATCCATGCGAACAGCTTAAAACAAATGACGTGTATGTGTGTGTGGAAACACCCAAAGTCTGAAATAAGCGGAACGGAGATGACGTCACCAAAATTAGCAATTATGATTGGATACAAAACGTTTATTGAAGTTCTCTGTGTGTGCTGCTTACGTATACACCTAGGTCGTAGCCGATTGTAGGTTGTTTTAATGCATCAGATCAGGTAAAAAAGAGCTTTGTTAGCTGCACCTTCATTCAGTAAAATGGGCTGGGACCACGCTGTTAGAATAACCTAACCATGTCTAATAGCATGGCCTGTGGTCTGCCGAGGCATCGGCCGTGGAGCGCTGGCCCTTGGCGGCATGCTCGGCTCGCTGGACACCTAGCAGTGCTGAGTGTTCAAGCTGAGCAACGCAAGCTCGCCGCACTCGTGGAGACTGTCTCTGTTTGGGGCTGCACCACTGTTATTGTGTATACGGTCCCATAAAAAAAATTGCCGTTGGAAGAGTTAGTTGGTGTAGGTACGTATACGCTCGTCCGTGTCTGCCACGCCTTTGTGCACTATGTGTGCAAACTATAGTTACCTATACCTGGACATTCCTGCAGTACTATTCTCCAGAATGGCTCAAGCCGCAATGTCTTTACCCGTATGTTGTGTATAAATCCAGGTTAGTGAAATGATCATTTTAGAACACTTCTATTTGAAAGAGGGGTGCCGCGCAGAACTTCCTGTGACTCGTGCACTGATTTGGTATGCTGCATCTATGCGAAGCAGGATGCGAGCAACGTTCTTCTGACACGCGTTTGCCCACGATATTCCTTACACAATGTAAGAATGGACATACCTATCAGTTGCGGTGCGGGAAGACCTCCGGACGCCTTCCGTCCTCGCACGACGACGGAGTCGTTGCCGCTGACGACGCGAGCCGAGACGGAGTAACGGCCGACGCCGTCGAACTGCGTGAAGTAGGCGCTGTAGATGCCGTCGTTGGCCGTCACGTCAGCGCCTGAAATTCGAGAGTGTATTCACCTTTTCATAAACGCCTCCCTGGGCGCCGCCATAGCCCTCCTTGGGCTGTGCGAATTGGCGCGTCCCCTCGAAAATGCACTGACAACGCGGCGCCCTTAGCCTTTGTACTCCAGCGCACAGCCCATCATGGCGGTGTTTTTCTCCTTCCTGTGAAAAGGTGTATAGCGTCTAAGAAAGTGGGCACATGCAGGAAGACAAGTGCTGCGCCGAAAACAGCATAGGCAATTTACGCGCCATCTGCGTGAGAACTTGTCATGCTGTTGGGCTTTAGTGATGGCACGTGTTCGTAATATACATTCGATGTTAATATTGGAGAACTTGGAGACCCTTAAACAGTGTAACGTTTGAGCGCTGGACATTCGGCGTGACTTCGGCATTTGCTTAAGAGGGTACAACTATACAACGTATGCATACACGTAGGACGATTGCTAACTCAACATATATAGGGATATTGAAGGACTTCTAGCGATGGCGCGTAGGAGGTGCTTCCGGTACTACGCAGGTCTTCTCTGGGTCATTACACTGCATTAACAGGTTAACCAACATGGTGCACCGGGGTTTTCGCAGAATGTAATCCATTTCTACTTTATCGGGAACCTCACGGCGACGGCGAAAATGCGCCTCGAATGTCCTAATTTTACTGCTTTCGTAGTAAAAAAAAACAAATGTAACTGTAATATTATGTGGTCGAAAGGTCTGTGGTCTAGACCAGGCGTCGGCAACCTTTTGAGGGTCGCACGGCAATGCTGAAGGCGCTTTGCAGGCGAAGAGAGGAAAATTCGGTGAGTGTCAGAAATGCAAAAAAAAAAGAGACAGAAAACAGTGACATAAATACACGCACATGTGAAGAATTCGCAATTTATGATAATAAGATGCAAAAGAACATTTATTTTAAAACGTTTCCTCATTCAGGTTAGAAGTGACAAGGCCAATGAGGGGAGAGAAACGACGTTGATGCGGCCTTGCAGGCCAAGTGCGGTTCACGGGTTGTCGGCCTCTGGAGGCTACAATTCAGAGGAAGCACATAAAGTATTAAAAGTTTTGTGTAAAACAGTATACATAATCTTAAAGATGCCTAATTATGAAGGTACTGGTGTAGTGATGGTACCGCTGCTCTATCACTGAGTAAAAGCTTATTCACACGTGGGACTATAGCACAGGTCACGGACCATACGGGTCTGGCAACGTTCACACAGAATTCACTTCAACTGACACTGCAATTGCCTAACAAAATCAGCCATCGTCATGTTCCAGAACATCTGATTGGTTGAGAGCTAGTGACGTCAGTCGTGCGACTGGCAATCGAGCAGTAAGCGACATAGGCAAAGCAGCTGCTTTGCGTCCAAAGCGGTCATTTGCGACCGTGCGACTAGCACGGACGCCTGACCTATGCTGCATGGTAAGGCGTCCATGCAGCATAGGTCATGGACCTATGCTGCATGGTGCAAAACGACGTTTTCTTGATCAACTCGCTCTCTTGCCACCAGGTTCGCTGTGTTTCCCGCTCGGTTTACAACTTGCCTACACGAGATCGGAGACGTGAAACGTACCGAGTCCGTCGTCAAACAGCTCTACGTCGACTTCGTAAGGCATCCTGGGCCTGATGACGGTAGCGGTGACCTTGGCATGGAGGACCACTTGGGCGCCCTTGGTGACCTCCGCGTAGATGACAGCCTCCTTGGCGCTGTTCACCTCCGCTTGCTTGAGGAAAGCGCGCACCTGCACGGGCTCCGTGCAGCGATCGCCAGCCAGAGACGTGGCGCGCACGTGCACGTCGGCAGCTTCACCACCTGGAGTCTTTTGGGACACCACTAGAGTCCAGGTTCCCGGCTGTACGACAACGGAGGAGACAAAGTGAAGCATACTTGTGCACAACATAAAGGTCCACTAAACGCAAACCACATGCTATGTCAGAGTGAAAGGTGACTGCTTGTTAACTTCGAAAACGTATCATGCGCAGAAGTGCTCTATATCGGCGAATACAACTTTGCACGTTCGCGGTATATACTCTGCACAGGCGGATGCACACATGCTTGGCACAAGTAGGCGCGCACTGCGAAGTGACGTAATGAGCCGGGCGACCGGTGACCGCGAATTCGGAGTACATTGCCGAGTGTATGAGCGGCACTATCTCTCCAGTCGCGGAGGCGATCGGTTGCCGTGCAACGATCATCTGCGCGAGTCCTCCGTAGATTTGTCAAGCAGTATTCGACCATAGTCATCGAGAAATCAAAGTAAATGTAGGACACAGCTTGAGCCCCCAGTGGGACATTCTGGAACAAGAGCTTGATGAACTAGAACGCCCTCCAACGCCCTACAACTAATCACTACTTCCCAAATGACTCAACCCACGAGAAACAAAAAAAGCAAGGCATTACAAGTAAGAATGAAAAGGAAATTGGGCGTTTCAGCTTGGTTCACGCAAAAAAGGACTCGTCGTTACGTTTGACAAGAGCGCAAACGCACATATTTCGCCGGGTTTTTCCGAAGCGCCGACCTCCGGTCAGTTAAGGGCGGAAATGTGAATTGGTACGCCACACTGCCATTCTAGGAGGTGGGCGATATCGATTGCCCTAACGGTATGCGCACCACTAAGCTGCGAAACAAGCACTAGGTGTTTTCTGGAATAATATTTCAACAACCAACTAATTAACCCAGCCCCGGGCTTAGTCGGACTACTGCTGCTGCTGCTGCTGCTGCTGCTGCTGCTGCTGCTGCTGCTGCTGCTGCTGCTGCTGCTGCTGCTGCTGCTGCTGCTGCTGATGATGATGATGATGATGATGATGATGATGATGATCTGATCTCATTGAGGAAAAAACTTTTGAGAGAGGCACATGCCCGTTGTGCCACCCCCTTGCAACGCCACTGACCCTGGGGGTCAAGGTTATGCCATAGTCCCCAGCTACGGCAGTCCTCTCAATCTGATCGTGGTTCTGAGTCGTAAAACCCCCCAAAATGAAAAATCCTTCTTGACCTACCGTAGCGATGCCAGGTATTCTGAAGTTGATGTAACTTCCGCTCTTGGCTGCTGGATCGGACTCTATGCAGTCGTGGCAGATCTTGCCGTCGGGGTAGCGCAGCTCCGCCTCAAGAAGGGATGCCTTTTTGGACTGCACTGCAACGATGGTCGAGTTTCCCAGATCGGCGTCTACCAGGATCGGGAACTCTCGCCTGTCCGAAATCTTGGCCGCTTGCTCGAAGATCTAAGAGGTGGAGATGAAAGTCATGATCAACACAGCGTAACGACGGTGTATAGATGCAGTCACAGACCAAGCCACTGTGAAAAAACACCGATATGTTTCGGGACGATTACGGGTTTCTTATTCACATTAGGTGTGTCACTGGACCAAGTCAAGATGAAAGAATAACAGATATTTCGGGACCCACACGGGTTTCTCGTTGACATTAGTGTGAACAAGGAACCAGTCCCGAAACGTCGCTGTTCTTTCACCTTGACTTGTTAAGTGACTGCATCTACATCCTCATCATGAAATCTGACCAGAAGGAGTCGGTCGAACTCTTGACTACAACACACCTTCGCAACTTCAACATTACAAACCAAGTCAGAAGTACTTCCTACCGTCAGACACATACGCCCTCCTGGAATTAGCTGTTGCGTGGCGGCAACTTCAGACGAATTCATTGCTCTAGGCTTTTTCATCTTTCACATGTTCAACAACGCAAGTTTACCGTTTTTTTTTTCATGAATTGTAGAAGGCGTGTTCACAGGTGGCGAGGCCGACACAAGCGTAAGGCCGCCACCTGAATTCTGCTTGCCTATAGAAGGGAAAACACTTCACATGAATCGCTTTTGGCACGTACGCTGTCAGCAAAGACAATCCGATTGAAGAAGCGACAATGGAGAAAGAAAACGTATTAGAATAGCTTATTGAGAAAGTTATAGTACAGGCCAGTGGAGTAGCTAGTATTTTTTTTTTGGAAATGAAGGAAGGGGAGGGGTTGAATCATGCTCCATGTAGTTTCGTGCGCGTGTTTGTCCATGTGCGTGTATATACACATTTTACGTACTCTATATATATAAACAGTTCAAAGCACCCTACTGCCTACGCCAATGGCAGAGGTCCATGTGGACATCTGACAGAATATCTGGACTTCTGACAGTGGACTTCTGGGGAGACAATAGAAATGTTGAGCGCCTGTCCTTTGCTCTTTCACTTCTGCAGATAGTGTGAATTGTTAAACACGAACGAAGGAAAATACGCATACCTCTGAATCCGTCAAGATTCCTCGCAATTGTGAGCCCAACACTTCCACTCCATTGCACTGTCTTTATACCCCGATATCACTCACTGAATTCCACAATATGTACCCACTTTTGATGCCTTCCAGATTTCTGTTTTGTTCATTATAATCAAATGGTGTGTTGGGACGATACACTGAGAAAGGAAGCTAGACAAACAAGCGCCGACTAACAAATTGATTTATTGAATGATGAAATCAGCCGTTTTAATTAACAATATAAACCCATATGACATGCCAAAGAAGCTCATTTGATCATTTAGTAAACGCAGCGGTTAGTCTGCGCTTGTTTGTCTTGCTTCTCTCTTCGTGTATCGTTCCAGGGCACAGTTACGCTGTAATGAACCTTCACCATCTTGCCCAACTTTCCACACTGCTGACTTTTTTTGTTTTTATAGGCCCTCCTTCATACGGGAAAAAAACATTACTGATTCCAATAAACCATAGGTCGGCAAAACTTGTTGAACTCAGTCAGACTCACTCATGAAATATGTTTCGAGCTTCGGACTCACTCGGACTCAGAGTCACGAAAATATTACTGACCCGGACTCCCTCAGACTCAGACTCACGACTCGATCTGAGCCAGAGTGAGTTCGCTGACCTATGCAATAAACAGACAAGAACGACACCAATCAACTCACCACAACCGGTTTCTTGTCATCGTCCATCATGGCTGTGGTTGCGTCCAGGAAGGCCGACTCGAGAGCGATGGTTGCGCTAGACTCGCCGTCGCGGAGGGCGAAGGCCTTGCCTCCGGTTTGTCGCGCCAGCTCTTCCAGCCTCTCCGCGGCGTTCATGCCGAAGGCAATGGTGTTGACCACCACCTGAGCGTCGATCAAGTCGTTCAAAACGTCTCTGATGTATGGACTGTTGTTCTCTTCGCCATCGGTCATGAGGATGATGACAGAACCGGCAGCAGACTGCTCATTCGCCTGGAACATCTGGGTGGTGTAGAAGAGAGAGAAGACCAAAGACGTGACGCTTATAGGGGAACGAAGGCAGGGAACTTGATTTTATTTGTTAGACACAATGTTAATGGAAGTCAACAGACAATGAAGCCGAAGATTGTACGGGGCACGTTATTTGCGGTAACCATATCGTACTAATTACGGCATAATCGGGAATAAATTGCAACGTGTCACCGGCAGAGACCGAACCCGTCGCCTTCACATAACGTGTTTGATGCTCTAAAAATATGGTCGTTCTTCCGTTCACATTATCCAATATTTATATGCATGCACTTCCGGGAGTGCGTCAGCACCGCAGAACCGGAAAAGGTGATTTAAATGCATGTTGATTTCAAATGCACTATACTGTAACAATGTCATAGAAATTGGGGGAATCTCCCTCCCCTAATCATTTCATAGGTGCGATGTCTGTCTCGTAACTTCGCTTTGTCGGATCCATTCAGACCGTTGTGAAAAAAAATGTAATCGCTAATTTTCAGTTTTGCTTCCCCTCGACCGCTTGTTTCATTTGGATTCCACAAACAGGGAGGAGGAGGTGCTGTGGAAACACTTTGCGTGCCCCCCCCCCCCCTTCCCTTACAACGACGAACAATTGCGCTTGCCTCTGGCTGTGGCATATTGTATTAATGCACGATTATTACACGGAGGATTGGGCAACCGGGCTGTCATCAGAAAGCCGTGGTAGACAAGTGGCACATAAGTTTACGTCATCTTCGACTTCATGCACGTGGTTGTTTGAAAATCGAACGTCCAGAAAGCGAACTTTGACGGACGATAGACTGTAGATGTCGCCCACGGCCTGAATGACGTGAAAGGCCTGGTGACGGCTGTACGTGCAGCTTGTATTTATTTTTATCTTGTAGTCGACTGTAGTCAATTACACTTCTACGGTAGAGGAGAGACCATTCGTTTAGCAGGAAAGCGCCTGGTCAGAGAAAACGCCCCGAGGGTGAATACAGCAGCAAGACGACCAGATGGAGCATTTGGTTAGGAGTCATCTTGTACTACTTTAAGGTAGGTAAAAAAGAAAAAGAAAGAGGCATCACCACGTTGTACGTTTGCTTTTCTTTGGCCCGTGTCAAGAGTTTGCACAGTATCGAAGTTCAAGATGAGTGAATACAGTCCTCGAGGTTATTTATCGATTCCTCGTGACGTCATATAATATATATCATGACGTCATAGCGCTCACCTTTCTCCGCGTAATCTTAAGTATCGAACAGACTTATAGCAAGGTACTTTGGCAGATACGCACACAAAAGAAGCGATGCTGCCTACTTCGAAGTTTTATGTACACCATGAGTTTATACGTGGCCTACGAACCTTTCGCTAGCGGCCTGGTAGACATATGTCTTTCTTTGTCCCGTATATCTTTTTCTTGCTGGAGCTCTTCGTAAGTTACTAGCATGTGGCTGCACGAAAACATTCCTTTCGTTACGCTTCTCATGTGGTAACCGTCCTTATAACCATGAAGCAAAACAGAAAAAAATTAAAGTTTCAGAATTGTTGCCAGATGTTGGTTGTTGTAGAGATCACTATCAATGTCTTACTCGAATACTGACGTCCGATCACCTAAGGAAGAGACCCGTTCGTGGTATATGGGAAGTAACTTATTTGAAATATAGAAACGTTAGCTCACGGCTTGTTGAAACTTCTGTCTCCCACTACAACCTTCTACAATGCCTCGTCCCTTAACTGCGGAACTATGACTGCAGCCCGCTCCATCGGGTGAACCTGATTGATTGGTTAATATGTGGGGTTTAACGTCCCAAAACCACCATATGATTATGAGAGACGCCGTAGTGCAGGGTTCCGGAAATTTCGACCACCTGGGGTTCTTTAACGTGCACCCAAATCTGGGCACACGGGCCTACACCATTTCCGCCTCCATCGGAAATGCAGCCGCCGCAGCCGGGATTTAATCCCGCGACCTGCGGCTCACCAGCCCAGTCCCTTAGCCACTACACCACCACGGCGGGGCATCGGGTGAGCTTTAGACCATTGCTATATATACACCATCGACGGGTCTATACGCGAGTAAAGCTTACTTCGACCGGTCCAATATCGTTTTTTTTTCAACGATGTATCAGCGGTTCTGCACGTCCCTGCCCCTCCCCCATATTACCCTTGTGTACGTCCATCAGAAGAGACACACGTGCTTACCTGTAGAGCAAGTCTCAAGGCGCAGCCGATGCACGTGCCTCCGTCAGCTTGTAGTTTCTCCACCTTCGCAACCAGCTCCTGGCGCGCTGACGAGTCATTTAGAGGCGTCAGCGATGATTGCTCGTACGCTGAGGAGTGGAAGACGACCAGTCCCGTTTCCAGGCCGACCGGTACCACATCCCGGATGAAGTGGCTCGCCGCTTCTCTCAGGTGCCCGATGCGGTTGTAGTCCTAGAGCAAAACAAAGGACAATTAGCCACATATGAGCCTTGTGTGCATGGCTTCGCAAATTTTGTCACGAACAAGAGCCAAGCCTGACTTACTACGAGCAGAGTCCTTCAACACTTTAGTATTGAAGACTTCTGCTACGTGCCAGCAGATAGGATTTTGTTTCCCTGAATTGTTCCTAGCACTTTCTCGGCCTGAATATTCTGCTCCTTACTGAGTAACTGCCTTTGTAAGTACTGGAAGAATTATCTCTAGAAAGACCGTCCTCTCTTTCTTTCTTATTTTCTCTCTAGTTCCGAATCCGCCTTCATTTTTTCTGTGCCACGTTCTGCCCTTTTTTTTTTTGGTAGGAGAAGCTTCACGGGAGGGGGTGGAGGAGTTACTTCGGGACTACCATGCTCACCAGAACAAAGGCTTTTGAGATCGAAAATTGCGCCAGGATTCTGCCAGTAAGAATATACAGCGAAATTTGCACATGGCTAAAAAAACGATAAACCGTTCGGCGTTGGTGTCGCGAGTGGTCTCCATTGGCTGTGCGATCAGTCACATCGTTCTCAGCATCGCACCCAAGCACGTGTGCCATTGACTGCGTTGTAAGGGACGTCACTCATCCCGTCGAATCCGAGGCGTCGAATCAGCCGAGAACGCGCGCATCCACTCCTACTACGATCCTAGAAGAGCGCCGAGAGAGGAAGCGTGAAAGAGCTCGCATTCGCCGGGCCGATGCTGCAGTCAGGGCCCAAAAACAGGTCCGGGAGGCCGAGTGCTGGTGTAAATTAAGTACCGATGATCCGGCAGCCTCGAAAACCGCGCTAAATAGCGAACGATAAATCGCGAACGGGAATTTGTATTCGAAGTTTACGCTTGAATATGTGCAAAGAGACAAAAAAGGAACTAAGGTTCAAGTCTAGTCTTCCTAGTACAGCTCATGACAACTCGCGACGCACCACGTTCTTGACCTAAGAGTGAGCACGTTGTAGGACAGATGCAACTTACCGCCATGCTGCCCGAAATGTCAAGGGCAAATATCAGCCTGCCGAGAATTCCTTCTCGTTTTTGGACTTCGGTGAAATTGACATCGACGTTCCTTGAGAGGTCGGCAGGAGCGATACTGCAAAAAAAAGAAGAAGGAAAAAGAAAAAGAATGATCAATCTCGTGTTGAGTGTGGAGACAACTATTTTGCTGGCTCAGTGAGCAGAATAGAAACCCAACGCGAGGGCATAGCGCGAATGGGTTGAACGAGCACGAGTGCATTAGACAAGCCGGCCAGCGTTTCGATGAGACTGTCTGTGTTTGTCAAAGGCCAGTCTGAACAACTTTACCCTAGTCAGCCTATCCGCACTTTGAGTTTATATACTTCGGCTCTCTCGACGTGAGAGGGCGCAGTATCTGGAAAATTCCGTTTGTATTCCCGCATTTAGCCAATACCGGTGAGTTCTCCCCTCCCCCCCCCCCCTCCTGTTTTATTTTATCTTCAATTAAACACTGAAACCTAAGCATCCTGATGATTCCTCGTTACGAAGAGGTGTATCTATTTTTCTCTTCAACATCCCAGCAAAAAAAAAGGTCTTACTCTTACCACGACTTTTTTATCGTTCGATGAGGGAGTGACTTAGCGAGTGAATGAGTGAGTTCCAATAAATTTCCAAGTTGGGTTACCGCCAATGAGATGACCAAGTGGCTTGCAGCACCTTCCTTGGTCAGACGGACCACCCAGATTTAGTGACCGAATCCTGGGCTGAGCAACGCAGCCCGCCAGCGCGCCTGAAAGGGGCTCATTGGAAGCCGCGTCCATAGTTTCAGCAATGCTTGCTGGATACTATCAGAGAACATGTGACCAATGTTGGTTGTCTGAAACATAGCGGCTATAAATAACCTTCGAGGGAGGCGCACGAATGGTAATCATTATTATTGTTCGTACAAAAACAAGGCAAGAGGTGCCACTGCCAAGTACCACGTCGAGCTGTCCACACGGTAACTAATACCATAGCCTCCTATATTTTTTTATGCCCGCGCAGTGGAGCGGCGGAGGCCGTCCGCTGCCCTTACTCTTCCTCCTCGATTTACGCCTGCCTTCTCCGCAAGGGGCGCTCGCACCCCATACTTGCCTCGGCAAGCAAAAGGAAAGAGGAATGCGGCAATAATGAAGCACAGAGCGTTGTGGGGATACAATAGGTATGAGGTGCTTCGAGGTCTGTGGAAGGGTGTAATGGTTCCAGGGCTTACTTTTGGGAACTCAGTGGTGTGCATGAGGGCAGAGGTGCAAGCGGGAATGGATGTAAATCAAAGGACTGTGGGACGCCTCGCGTTGGGTGCTCACGGGAAGACGACAAACGAGGCTGTAAAGGGCGATATGGGGTGGGCAGGTTTTGAGGCGAGGGAAGCGCAGAGCAAAATAAGGTTCGAAGAAAGGCTAAGAAATATGAAGGAGAGTAGATGGGCAGAGAAGGTGTTCCGTTATTTGTATAGGAAGAGCGTGGACACACAGTGGAGAAAAAGAACTAGAAGACTCACTAGTAAGTATACGGCTGGTATTGTAAGCCGTATGTCAACAAAGAGCGTTAAGGGAAAAGTCAGGGAGGCGGAGAGGATTTACTGGATGGCAGCTATGGAGAAAAAACCGGCTTTGAGTAACTACCGAAAGGGCAAAAATGAAATAAGGAGGGAGGCATTTTACGATAATTCAAGGGGAAGCGCTTTACTGTTTGAAGCGAGATCGGGTTGCCTTAGAACGCGTAGTTATAAAGCAAGATTCAGTAAAGAAGAAGAACAATGCACATGCTGCGGGAAAGATAAGGAAACGGCGGAGCATGTTCTGATTGAATGTGGAGATATCCACCCAGGTGTACGTTTGGGCACGAGCCTACAGGAAGCCTTGGGTTTTAGGGACAACAATGGAAAGCTGAACACACCCGCGATTGAAATAAGTAAGAGACGGTTAGAGTATTGGTGGCAGAAAATTAGATAGAAAGGACAAAAATAAATATTGGAAAAATAAAATATGGACAGTGTGCCGTAAATGGCAGAGAACTTAAGCTGAAAATTTACCTTTTTTTCTATTAAGATAGAATTTATCGAAGTAGAGGCATTAGGCCAACATAAAAAGAAAAAAGTTTTTTTTTTTTTGTCGAGCCTGGTGGCATACTTGTCACCACCCCGTTATAAAGGGGACGCTCATAGCATCCATCCATCCATGCCCGTACATGCTCTTGAATGTACCAAGCATAGTCAGCATAGCAGCAAAGTTCGCTACGCTGCAACGTGTTGAGGCACCTCGAAGCCCTCGAAGTACCTACAAAAGTAGCTCTACAAGCAAAAGTTGTTCCTTGTCCGTCGTGTTTGTCGCAGGTAAGCTTGTGTGTCTTGCGGAAGCAACGGTTTTAATTATGTTTTTTTTTGTTTGGACTATCAGGGAAGCACAACAAATGGTATATGCAATTTAACGTGACAAGAACGCAATGTCACTGCAAATCTGACCGCTAATGTTAACGTGGTCTCTGGTGTAAGTGTAAGAGGCAGCCCTACGCCATCGTAGCACAAATTCGGAACGCTGCAAGCGGAAGTACGTTTAATACATAGCTTTATACTGTCGCTTTTAATTCCTTGATCATTTTACACTGAATTATTTACATGAACGTTTATTGTTCTAACAGCGTTCTGATCCATAATGTTCAGTGCCACTGAATGAAGCGACCGTTTGTTTACTATTCTACGGGTCCATGTGTGAGTTGCTAGCGCCGTCACAATCTATATTGTTCGCTACGCAAAAAACTGTGATTTACGGTGCAAATTCATGCTGCATTACTTTTCACATACGAATTCGGTTTTCTATCTGCAGTGTGGAATCAGTAAGGGTGTTCTGTACCCGACAAGATGCCGTACTGCTGCGTACCACGCTGCAAGTCTTCGAGCAAACAACGGACGCCGGGCATATCGATCCACGAGATACCAAGCGATCCGGAACTTCGAGCGAAATGGCTAAAGGTCATTTCTCGGGACGACTGGGCACCGAATACGTCGTCGTGCTAATCGACTGTATGCAGCCGACACTTCGGTTCCTCCGACTTCAAGGAGGGCTGCAAAATTCGCAAACTCAAGAAAGACACTGTTCCCAGCATTTTCGAAGAGTATCCTCCGTAACTGCAGCCTCCGAAAAAGAGAGAGGGAAGCGACGCGTTTGTGAGAAAACGCAAGGCAGCTGCGCCAGTGAACACACCACCGCGGAAACGAAGAGCAGTTGAGAGCCAACTGGAGACCCCTTCACTTCCTCGCAATGACTTGCCGTCCGTCGACGTCGACTCTCAAGATTTATCACCGATGGATTGCACCGCAAGCGAACTGCCGCTACCTCTGGAAAACGACGCAAGCGAGCACTGTCCACCGTCACTCTGTCCACCGTGCAGGTGGACAGAGCTGTGCAGGTGTCGTCATTATCCTCGGTTTCAGCAATGGACAAACGAAAATGGAGACGTATCCTGCATGATAATTGAAAGCCACTAGAATAAAACTATTCTAGCATATTTAATTTTTATTCCCACCAGGGTCACAGCGGGATGCAAAGATCGCGCCGCGCTGTTCGCGTTTTTTTTTTCTATCACCCCTGTGCATCATGAAGAAACACCAATGCAACCTGCGCATTTATTTTACAGCTCCATCTCTAATACGAACGCAAGTTTCTCTCCAAAAGCACGCGCGCAACAGCGTAGTCGCGTCGCCTGCTCTGGGAGTGGGTATGGGGTTACAGCGCCGTGTGGTGGCGAGCGCATGAAATAGAAGGTACGGGCGGGGCGCCTTGCTCCGCTCCCGGGCCACTCGGTGGGCATGAAAAAATATAGGAGGCTATGCTAATACATGATCTTGCCACGAAACTTGAGCTACGAAAAGTCACCTGCGAGTGACCAAATAATCTGCTCACCCATTGAAATCATCGTTGGCGCTGATCACTTCCCAAACAGATTTGCGCTCACAAAGGTGGTTGTGCTTGTTGGGGGCGTGAGCGTTGTGCTTCTTGTCACCGTCCTTGTCACAAAATTCTGTAACCTGCGAGATGTAGAGTGTGATAATAAGTTTACTTCTAAGCTGTAAATTATTCAAGAGACAGCATATTCAAGTAGTGAATTATTTGAGAGAGAGATGAGCACGTTATCATTTGAAAAACTCTATTGTAAGTTTCATCGTCATAGCTTCAATGAACGGATACTATTAACGTCTAAGTCACACTGTCTCCTGACACTGCTGAATTTATATCTCTACGCTGGAGAATTTTCGAGAATGCGGGAAGAAAAAGTGTCCTATACAGACGGCGATGCTAAAGGCATTTTAGGCGATGACTACAGTCGTCCTAACAAGAGGAGAGAATTCGGTAACACCCGTGCTATCCATCCATCTCCTATTTGTTTTAGTGCTGCCTTGCGATTATGAAGACATGCATATTCGATATCCCAGCCGCGGCAGCCTCATTTCGATGGAGGCCGCGGCCCGTATACTGCGCGATTTCAGGGCACATTAAGGAACACCGGATGGCCGAACTTTGCAAAGCCCTCCACCATGGCGTGCTTCAGTAATCACATCGTACTTTTTGGCACGTAAAATCCCAGATATTGGGACGCACAATCTAAGGTCATTTGAAATTTGAAGTTTGTTCTCCTCTCTTTGAGTACAGTGAAGTGAATACACGCAATAGGCTGCAGAAGAGGGATCCACAATCAAGGACTTCCGTGTACGATTATATACTTACCCCGTTGATGTACGGCATAAACATGATGGACGATGTGACCGGGTCCTTGTCGTTCCTCAAGAACCGGGACTTGCACAGGGACGAGACGCGGCATCCCTTGTAGATGCGGCACGGCTCTCCGGAATCCGTGTACACCTTGAACTTGTGATGTTGCGAGCAGGTGCTGGCGCGTACCTGCGCCAAGCAGAGCACCCCTGTGTCGAGGCAAGTCCGTGCTTTGTGAAGGCAGACGCGCGCTGCCGAGTTTCTCGAGGCACGCAACCTTACCATGCCAAACTCGCAGTAGAGGCTCGGGTACCGGTAGCTCTCCGGGTCGCCGTACTCGTCGAACACTCCGTACCGGAAGTGGGCCCATTCGTGCACCATCATGTAGGCTGCAATCAAAAGCATGTCTTTGTGCGTTTTTTTTTCAGGTCTTCGAAACGGACAAGCAAACCCTGAGGGCCCAGGCTGGCACATGCGCCGAAACTTCCACAAGCATACCCAGAAATATATATTCTCTCCCTTATTAGATTCTACAGGACCACTCGAAAAGACGTTGATGGAATTTATACTCACATGAGCTTAATGAACTCAAGTTCATCACGAATACTCAAACGAGCTGGCTTGAACGCGAATCGCTTGCGTCAGCCCAGCCGGGTTCATTTAAAATAAATTTCATCAAAATTTTACTCGGGACTCACTGACGCTCGCACTAGCACGTCACTTTGAGACTGAGTAACCCTAACTGTGAGCGAGTCGTAGAAGGTTTGCCGAGACCTACACCAGACACGTATTCAGCATGGTACACCCCGGGCAAGCTGCCGGTCAGAGGTCAAGCGATTGGCGTTGACTCTGATAATTCCCGGTTTCACTCAAATTGTGTTAGAAAAGCGAAATGTACTACGTCAGCCAGCCGTTTGTGCACTCCTAAACATCGCCAAGCAACAAGTTCCGCTAAAAAGGCAAGTTGTTCCTCGACACTGCCAAATACAGATGGTATATTAATATGGGAGACGGACTCGCTCGCTGGGTTTCGTGCCGACCGGTTGTGCCTCCACGATCTCCGACGACAGTGCAGCTCTGGCCGACTGTGCTCGCCCTACGCCATCTCCTGGCGCCGACAAGAGCTCTCGCCGAGTGGTGCCCCGTCCTCGGACTTCTGCGACCGTGTCCATCTTTTTTTTATCTCCTCTTTACTTCCGTCGTTTTTAGTCGTTCACTCTCCCTATGCCTGGCTCTCTCCTTCCTACCTCTATCTCTTTACCTTTTAATCCTATCCTTTTAATCCCTCCTTTACCCCCACCCCTCGTGAGCTACTGTTGAGGTGTCCTCCCCCGGAGAGACAGTTACGGGGCTCACTTTCCTCTTCCTTTTCACTTAACATCACTCACACAGTATGGGAGACTATACAGGCGACATAGTGGCTGATGGAAGTCCTCACCTGGACTGCCGTAGACCTCGGTCATGGAGCTGTTCATGTCGCTAAGAAAGCGTGGCGTCAGGTGGACGTACTCGCCCCGCTCACCGCACCCCCGAGGCTGCAGCGTGTACGGAGTGTCACCGTACTGCGGGTTCGGTGTGGCAACCCTCACGTCGGCCACCGGGAACATGTTGGCCGTGGTTTTCCGTGCTTGTGCTCGAACGGGCCACGTGTCAGGTATGGCGATGGTCACGCTGCCAAAGTGGACGAGGCCTCGTGTCGCCCGGTGGAGAAACGCCGACGCAGAGCGGAACAGGGCCTTCGAGAAGCAAGTTAAGTGCGATCATACCGTAACCGTTTAGAATAGGAATAGCTATAGCTCTTATTCATAGAATAGCAATGGCTCTCATTTAGAATAGTTTAGAATAGCAATAGCTCCTATTGGTCTGTTACACAACACTTAAAGGGAAAGTCTTCGAAAAACAAACGACTGTAACTTTTCTTCGCAAGTCGCATGACTGTCACGCATGGCACTGGAGTTAGAAAGTAGGCGGGGGGGGGGGTAATTTCTAGTCATGTAAGGGAAGTGCTAAGTCTACTGCGCATTCTCAATAAGCCAGACCTGACCCGTCAACGTTTGATGTGCAGGGCCTTGACCTTGAAGGTTTCGACGGCAACGGCAGCCGAATATCTCTGATGCTGCGTCGCAATAGCACTGTATCTTTATTCCGTAAAGCCAGGAACCGATGGAAGCCCGCCGTCATGTCAATTTCATGAGTTAGCAAAACGTTTCCTTGGGGCAGTTGGTTCATGACATTTGAAGAAAGAAGAAGTAAAAAGCAACACACGGACATGGAAAGAGCTGACGTAGAGTACGAAAATTTCCTCCTTCAGAAGCCAATTTTATGTTTGAATTCATTGCGAAGCCCGTTTTATTGGACCAGGTCAGTCGCTAGGAGTCGGGATGCTACTGCGGCGAGACTTACTCCCCAATCTAATGGAAGCGCCTCTAAGCACACCTATAGCACTCCATTTTTTTTTTTTCAGGACATGAAAACTTGCCCAACCATGCGTGCAATGTATGACCACGTTTAGGCCCTCCAGCGCACGGCCGCCTCTGTGGGGATTCAAACCCAATACCTCGGTGCTGTTTTACGGCGCCCATGCTACGACGCATGCTAAAGAAGGAGAACATGCTGTGGAGGCAATGTACCTTGATGTTGTCGATGATTCGCTCGTTGGGCTCCACAGACTTGTCAATGGCGACCACAATGTCCTCATAGGCACCCGTCTTCTTGTCGATTCGAAGGCCATGACCGGAGGACCATAACGCTGCCACCACGACGAGCAGTGCAAGCAGCCTCATTCTGTGAGAGAACGAAAAGAACAAGCAGCCTCATTCTGCGATTTGTAATGCACGAGTGCGCTTACTTGGGCTGGCTTATTCATGAACATTGTTGCAGGACAGTGCAAATAACGAAAAAGCGAACGCAGGATACAATTCTGTGTCATTAAAGATTCCCCAAGAGAGGGCAGGAAAGAGAATAATAAAATGACAAAAAACAAACAAACATGAAATGCGCAAGTTAAACTGACGGAAATATTTGCAGACACGGTAAGTTGGGGCTTCTCTATCCACTTTCACATACAAAGGCACGCAACATACATAATGGATGGTTTAACTCAGTCGCCTAGGATACGGGGAACCCAAGCTAAAGTTTGGGCGTGACGCCCGCGCGGCCGAGCTGCGCGTTACCGGGGATAGACAACTGCCGCCGAAGGCGGTTTGTCACCGGACTCAGCAGCGGCAGGGACACGTGCACGCATGTTGTCATCGTTCGAACCGGAGCACTACAAATAGACAAGTATATTTACTGTTGTGACGCCCTGCGGGCTTAACCCAAAATCTCGGCGCGTGCGCAGTAGATGGGGTGGCAGTGTTGTGGCGAAAGAGTGTTAAGAGCACTGGCGAACGATGAGAGCGGTGGCGCCGCTCGGCGTTACTTTTGGAAGCCTGTTGCCATAACGTTGCGGGGTGTATAAGAGCATGGCGAACGATGAGAGCAGTGGTCTAGCCACCCTATAGCAGTGGCGCCGTTCGGCGTTACTTTTGGAAGCCCGTTGCCATAACATTGCGGGGTGTATAAAGAGCATGGCGAACGATGAGAGCAGTGGTCTAGCCACCCTATAGCAGTGGCGCCGTTCGGCGTTACTTTTGGAAGCCCGTTGCCATAACATTGCGGGGTGTATAAAGAGCATGGCGAACGATGAGAGCAGTGGTCTAGCCACCCTATAGCAGTGGCGCCGCTCGGCGTTACTTTTGGAAGCCCGTTGCCATAACATTGCGGGGTGTATAAAGAGCATGGCGAACGATGAGAGCAGTGGTCTTGCCACCCTATAGCAGTGGCGCCGCTCGGCGTTACTTTTGGAAGCCCGTTGCCATAACATTGCGGGGTGTATAAAGAGCATGGCGAACGATGAGAGCAGTGGTCTAGCCACCCTATAGCAGTGGCGCCGCTCGGCGTTACTTTTGGAAGCCCGTTGCCATAACATTGCGGGGTGTATAAAGAGCATGGCGAACGATGAGAGCAGTGGTCTAGCCACCCTATAGCAGTGGCGCCGCTCGGCGTTACTTTTGGAAGCCCGTTGCCATAACATTGCGGGGTGTATAAAGAGCATGGCGAACGATGAGAGCAGTGGCGCCGCTCAGCGTTACTTTTGGAAGCCTGTTGCCATAACATTGCGGGGCGTATAAGAGCATGGCGAACGATGACAGCAGTGGCGCCGCTCGGCGTTACTTTTGGAAGCCTGTTGCCATAACATTACGGGGTGTATAGGATGTAACACGGTGCGAGCAAAGGAAATGCAGGTGCGATTGTTACTGGAACGCCTCTGGGAACACGCGGAGCACAGCTCGATTGTTCCGTCCTCGTGCGTGCTGTGCCGTGTAGTATTCCCATTCTGCAACCGTGCTTTTCCGTTCACACGGTTTTCTCTAGTTGCGTGCCGTAACCACTTCGACAAGAACACGTCTTTTGCCCACCCTCTTAGTGACTCATAGGCGTTTTCTTTTTCTTTTTTGTAGGTCCAAATCTAGTAACTGTGATAAATATGGCTGGAAATGAAAGTGGGCATAGAACAGAAAATAAGAAAAGGGAAGAAAAAGCTCACTGCCGGTAGGCACTAACCCGCAAACATAGCTATAGTGCTTAGCATAGAAAATATCATCACAATCATCATCAGTCTGACTACGTCCACTGCAGGACAAAGGCCTCTCCCATGTTCCGCCAGTTAACCTGGTCCTGTGCTTGCTCCTGCCAATTTATACCCGCAAACTTCTTGATCTCATCTGCCCACCTAACCTTCTGTCACCCCCTAACTCACTTGCCTTCTTTGGGAATCCAGTTAGTAACCCTTAATGACCTGCGGTTATCCTGTCTACGCGCTACATGCCCGGCCCATGTCCTTTTACTCTTCTTTATTTCAACTATGATATCCTTAACCCCCGTTTGTCCCCTAATCCACTCTGCTCTCTTCTTGTCTCTTAAGGTTACACCTACCATTTTTCTTTCCATTACTCGCTGCGTCGTCTTCAATTTAAGCTGAACCCCCTTTTATGTCTCCAGGTTTCTGCTCCGTAGCTAAGTACCGGCAAGATACAGCTGTTATATACCTTCCTCTCGAGGGATAGTGGCAATCTACCTGCCATAATTTGAGAGTGCTTGCCGAATGTGCTCCACCCCATTCTTATTCTTCTAGTTACTTCAATCTCGTGGTTCGGCTATGCAGTTATTACCTTCCCATAAGTAGACATAGCCTTTTACAACTTGAAGTGCACTATTACCTATCTCGAAGCGCTATACTCTTTCCCGAGGTTGTTGTACATTACTTTCGTTTTCTGCAGATTAACTTTAAGACCCACCTTTCTGCTCTCCTAGTCTAACTCCGTAATCATGAGTTGCAATTCGTCGCCTGAGTTACTCGACAATGCAATGTCATAGAAAATATGGGGGTCAGCTTTCGGGCGGGCCTTAAGAGAACCTCTCAAACGTTTTTTTTTTCTTTTGCTACTTTGGATGTGTATAAACGCGCACACGTAGAAATAAACACACGAACATACATTAACGTTTCTTCCCTACCACACATACGAAAAAAAGAAAAGAGTCCACCTACTCGGCTTTTCCTAGATCTTGCGAAATTTCAATCCTGACCAATTAACTAAATTCATTCATTCGCAGCAGACATCAAGATGCAGGGCTGACGCCACTGAGGGGGGGGGGAGTGAGTGGCACCCCCACCCTCACTAGTTTCTCCCCCCCGCCCCCATTAGACCCATGCCCTTCCCCGAGAGTCAAAATGCAAACCATAAGTGCCCCGCATATCTGGTCCCTGCAATTAAATGATGGTGGAACTGTTCCACCAGACTGGTACATTAGAAGCAATGAGGCACTGAGCGTGTGTTTCGCGTTTCTTCCATATAAGATCTCCTACATCTTTATCAAACCACCTTTAATAGGTTGGATCCAGTCGTTTTTATTTCTTTTTGCGAATATTATCACGTACGACGTATGCAAACATCGTAGCTCGAGTACGTATTACTTATCTCTAACTCTATAGTTCAGAGCAGGATGCATCTGTCATCCTCACCGGGTCTTTGAAATCATTGATAACGCTGGCTTGACCTGCCTTAGCGGTCAAGTGGTTACGGCGCCTCACGGCTGACCTTATACTGTCGCGGGGACCGAATTCCAGCCGCTGCGACTGCATTTTCATGGAAGCGAAATTCTATAAAGCCCCTGTGGCTCAGGTTGCCGCCCTGGTTGTTCATATCGCTAGGGGTCACCATTTCAGAGTGCTCCAAGACGGCGTCTCTCATAATCACATCATTGTGTTAGGACGTAGCAATACGGAACTTAATTTCGTAAGTTACGGGCCTACAGCACGCAAGTCCATAGCTTAGGCCCTCCCCCGTCCCATCTCTGACTTTTTATTGGTAGGGGCGCAGGTGTTTTAGAGCGAATAAATACTGAAAATAGGTACCTTTTTTTTCAGATAGCCACGACCATCAGCAAGTGCCATACCACCACCATATCAAGAGGAATGTTTGTCTCCAATCTCGCTCCCATATGTAGGGTAGCAAACCAATTATCCTGAACTAGTTTACCTCCCTGCATTTCCTTCTCTACGATTTCTCTTCTCTTCTCTTGGCTACGGACTTTGAAGCTATAGTACGCCAACACTGGGAAGCTTTTGATGGGTTAAATGTCCAGTGAGTGGTATTAACACGTCAATATAATCGAGAGTAGCACAACAAAACAGTACAACAGAACGTTACGCGACTCGCGATGAAATTAAGTAAAAATCTGTCCATAGCAGAGTACTGGTTGATACTGCAGCTCATAACCGAGGAATCTTTCTGGTTCATAACTCAGGAAACTAGTACCCAAATTGTTCTTTTGTGTTATAACGTAATAATATTTGCTGAGGTTTAACGTTCCAATCCACCGCGATATGATGACGAGAGACGCCGCACTGGAGGTCTCCCGAAATTTCGTTCACCCGGGCTTCTTCAACGTGCAAATAAATCTAAGCACACGCAAGCATTTTCGCCTTCCCCGAAAATGTGACAGCCGCGGCCGGGATTAAATCCAATTGGCTTTTGTGTTATTTATTTATTTATTTATTTATTTATTTATTTATTTATTTATTCATTTATTTAAGAAAACTACGGACAAAAAGTCCAAGCAGAGTTAGCAACATACACACAAAAGTGCAGAGGAAACAATGTTGCTTAGTGGTTTTCACATGTTTTTTTTTGTTTAAGACGTAAAGGTACGATTAAAAAATGCAAGTGAACAATATTATATAGTTAAATTGGCGCCACGAGTTTATGAATTTGGCCCCGCCACGGTGGTCTAGTGGCTAAGGTACTCGGCTGCTGACCCACAAGTCGCGGGATAAAATCCCGGCTGTGGCGGCTGCATTTCCGATAAAGGTGGCCGAAATGTTGTAGGCCCGTGTACTCCAATTTGGGTGCACGTTAAAGAACCCCAGGTGGTCGAAATTTCCGCAACGCTCCACTACGGTGTCTTTCATGATCATGCGGTGGTTTTGGGAAGTTAAACCCCACAAATCAATCATCAAGTTTGTGAGTTTGACCATGTTTTCTTTTTTAGACTGGGAAACGAAATGCAAATGCGTGTACCGCACCCGGTGTGGACTTACCCGAAACAACTTGAGCCCGGTATTCCGAAGACCGTTCCCGGCAGCTAGCGCAGCCTCAGCGACCGCTTTCCTCTCTTGGCGACGCAAGCGAAACTGTCTGTCGATGGCCGCCGACGAGTAAGCATATAAGGTGCTTCAGATTCACGCAATAAGGGTTCAACAAGTGGTCACCGTGTCGCAATCAGCGGCGACCCTGAATTCACAGGTTGCAGCTGCGTCCCAGCGATAAGTGGCGACGATATCGACTCTTCGCGTTTCCACTAAAACAGCGCTCTTGCGTCGGTGATAAAACATCGTCGAAATATGCCGCACCACAATTATATATAAAAGTATTCTAATAAACCAGCCTACCTGCCGAAACAATTTAAGGATAACGCGAAATAGGCGGACCAATTATTGTGAGCAGCAGGCGTGATGCCGCATTGACGTCTTATCGTATAGACGCTATACATGTCTGTACTGTCATCGAGGCACAATCGTTCGGGCTACGCTACACACAAAGATTCCGAGTAAAACAAAATAAACAAAAAGCACGTTTCATTATACCAATTTTGGGTGTAACATTGCGGCAACCTGCCAGGTATACTGTAATGAGAGTGGGCAGGTTGTCGACCTCAATTGAAGGTGCGTGGCGTAATGCACGAAATAATAAAAAAAATATTGCAGTGACAAGTACAGTACTCAACAGGTCTGCGAATTCCTACGTCTCACCTATTATGGATACGCCTCCTATAATGCCACTTCAGATCACACGATGTAGTTGCGTGCCGTGGGTAAATGCGCATCACCATTTCAGTAAATTAAAACAAAGACAATGAAGCCATTGATTGATATGTGGGGTTCAACGTCTTAAAACCACCATTTGATTATGAAAGACGCCGTAGAGAAGGGCTCCGGAAATTTTGACCACCTAGGGTTCTTTAACGTGCACCCAATCTGAGCACACGGGCCTACAACATTTCGACAATCGGAAGCCAGAGAAGATCATTATGCCGAAGCACTTTTGACATGGACAAAGCGGACAAGAGAGGTACGACACCCAATCGGTATACTATCTTGTCCCCCTTCTCGATGTCAAAAGTGCGCTACTTTTGACATGGACATCCGGGATTTAACGTCCCGAAAGAGAGACGTGGAGGGGTCCGGAAATTTTGACCACCTGGGGAATGTTTAACGTACACCTAAATCTTAGTACACGGGCCTCATTCATTTTCGCCCACATCGAAGATGGTGCCGCTTCCGTCCGCCAACAAGGTCCATCCGATCATTCGTCCGTCCGTCCATCCATCCATCCATCCATCCATCCATCCATCCATCCATCCATCCATCCATCCGTCCATCCATCCATCCATGTCATTGAAACTAAGGGACCCGCCCAGGTGGACTAGTGGCTATGGCACTCACCTGCTGATCCGCAGGTTGCGGGATCAAGCACCGGCTGCAGCGGCTGCATTTCCGATGTTGGCGAGAATGATTGAGCACCGTGTGCTTAGGGTTGGGTGCGCGTTAAAGAACCTCGGGTGGTCTAAATTTGCGGAGCCCTCCGGTACGGCGTTTCTCATAATCATATCGTGGTTTCCGGACGTTAAACCCCTACAATTAGTATTATATTGGATCCATGGAGGGTCCAGGGGACGTATACGTTGTTTTATTTCTATTGTGGTAATTGCGATATGCTTATGAAGAAAGGGAAGCCAATGTAAAGGCAACTTGCCCGCAACAGGGACCAAACCTGCCACCTTCGCAGGTTGGGTCCATGCTCGCGGTGAGTTGTCTTTTTTTTCCCCTTTACTTTCTCCCCATCCACATAATAAGCAACGCAATACAGTTAAAAGAGTGAGTAGCGCCCATATACCTTCCTCGGTTTCATTGCTTGTTGGTTTTGAATAATGTTGTCTGATAAGGAAAAGAGCCCGAACTTTTCCTTCTTCTGTTCCTCCCCCGCAGACAATTTTACGTGACAGTGTCTCCTACATCATCATCAGCCTGACTACGTCCACTGCAGGACAAAGGCCTCTCCCATGTTCCGCCAGTTAACCCGGTCCCGTGCTTGCTGCTGCCAATTTATACCCGCAAACTTCTTAATCTCATCTGCCCACCTAACCTCCTGTCTCCCCCTAACTCGCTTCCCTTCTCTGGGAATCCAGTTAGTCACCCTTAATGACCAGCGGTTATCCTGTCTACGCGCTACATGCCCGGCCCATGTCCATTTCCTCTTCTTTATTTCAACTATGATATCCTTAACCCCCGTTTGTCCCCTAATCCACTCCGCTCTCTTCTTGTCTCTTAAGGTTACACCTACCATTTTTCTTTCCATTGCTCGCTGCGTCGTCCTCAATTTAAGCTGAACCCTCTTTGTAAGTCTCCAGGTTTCTGCTCCGTAGCTAAGTACCGTTGTAAAAGACTATGTCTACTTAGGGCAGGTAATAACCGCAGAGATTGAAGTCTCCTACATAGGAAACTAACTTTTACGTAACGCATGAGAGCCGCCTTCTTGGCCTGTTAAACAAGTGTTTCCTTATTCGTGCATGATGGTCATGGCCGTGAAATTAACGCGCCAACGAAACCATTTTCGTGCGTCCGCCGTACGGCGCTCTTCGTTTCGCTCATCGCACCGGGAGGCGACAGCCGCGATACCAACGTGCACCCCCTGGCAGCGACAGCAATAACCAAAGCAAGGCTTCTACAGTGGTGGTCAAGGAGACAGTGAACAATTGTGATGTTCATGGACCTGGTGTGATTTTTCTTTCCTTTTTTTTTCTAGTTCCGGTCAGGACACTAAAAGGTGCCCCCCCGGTATAAAGGGGAAGACCACAGAGATCATCATCATCATATTATTAATATCACGGGCTAAGTAGATGCCTGAGGATGACGACGACGAAGTGCTGAACGTGAACGTGCTCGGACTACAGCAGCGTTGTACGCATTTGCTCGCCAGTATATTCGCCAGTACGCATTTGCTCGCCAGTGTATACTTTATTCCCCGTAACAATATTAACTTCTTGCCAATGAAAAATACTGTGCTTTCACGTGCCAAAGCCATGATATGAATATGGGGGACGCCGCATAGCGTATGGCTTTGGAAATTTCTGCCACCCGCAGTTCATTAGCGTGCGCCTAAATCTGAGTGACACAGGCCTCTGTCTGCTGTGTCTCCTCCTTTGAAATGCAGACGCCGTGGCCGGAATTCGATTTTAAAGCCTTTGGGGCAGTATAGTCGGACACTCTAACAACCAGCGGGCCCCGTAGTGGTACTTTGTTTAGTTGTTGGATATCACAAAACGACAAGGTTATAACGGGCCATCTCCTTTTCTATTCTTTTTTTTTTAATTTTTATTTGAACATACTGCAGGCTTTTAACGGTCCATGCTGGAGTGGATACAAGAAAACACATACTAAGTATCGAAAGAAAATACATACCGCAAGAACAAGAAAGAAGATGCAATGTCAAACAGCTCATAATTCAAAATGGACACGCTGTGTTATGTGCATAAATGATTGAGTAGTGTTACAGCACACAATATTGTTGTCTAGTCTATTCCAATGGTGGATAGCTGACGGAAAAAGGGAATGTTTTGTTCAAAACTTCTGAACTCATCTGCGCAAAACATGTCCCATATGCAACACATAGCCACACTGAAAAGAAAAGAAAAAACTATCCCTTGTCTGTTCTGACAATTACAGGTGACAGGAGTTTAGCCAGAAAATTTTTTTTCGGGGGAGGGGAGGGGGTTAACCATGCCTTATGTATGTTTGCCTGCGATCGTATGTGTGCGTGTACATAGAAACAAGCAAAAAAAATGAAATGTTCGAAAGCTTTTTAATGTCCCCCCCCTTTGTATATCACCCCCCCCCCCCCTGGTGGACTGGCATGTCATCTGTCTGCCACGGCTGACCAGTATGTCATCTGCCTGGCAGTTGACATGCCGGTCAGCCAGCCATTGCAGAGCAGGGGTTATGTCCCGATGTTCGTATACCATCGATCCCAAACCTGGTGGTCCTATTTCGATGGATGCGAAGCGCCAGAGGCCCGTATGTACTGTTGCGATGCATGCCAGCGCACGCTATCGAGATCACGAGATGGTCGAAAATTTTACGGAGCCCTCACCATAAAGCGTCTCTCATATCGTGGTTACGGGGCGTGAAAACCCAGATATCCCTATCAGATGGCGTGACGAATACCAACCGGACATTCCACGCTCGAAACACTCAATTAACAGGCGCGAAGTTCACACATTGGACGCCCTCTCCTCCGGGGTCAATGACTCCAAGGTCACAGGATCTAATTCCGACCGTGGTGGCCACATTTTAGTGAAGGAGGTTTGAGAAAGGCCCATGCGCCTTATTTCAGGTGTACAATAAAGAACTCCAGATGTTGATATTTGTGGATTTTTCCTCTGTGCAATCATGTCGTGGTTTTTGGTATTTATTATATCGAATGAACAAAGGCAAGCGATTATTAATCAGCATAACACTAGATTAAGCAAATGATTCACTTTCTATGCAGAGTAACGGCTATCTGATGTTCATAGCAATAAACTTATTTATTTTATTTTGCGCATGCAGCTTGATTAGTACGCATATATATCCGCATGCAGCTTGAATAGTACGCTTATCTATACACATTCACTGCACTTCCAGTCTAAAATGTTTCACATCATTCGAAATTATGATCAAAGTATAGTCATTTCACCTACATGCCCATCACGGGGGGGGGGGGGGGGTCGCAATGATCGGAAGCTTGTTTCGTATTGCGTGCTATTCGTCGTACCTTTTTATTCTGTAACTCCAACGCCGCAGGACATTGATAATAGTTTATGAGGTGAATGGTTGTTTTCGGGCTCTATGACGGTGCTCTTGAAACCACTTATGAATCATTCTCTGACAACGGCTGGTCCACTAATTCAAGCGCGTAGTTTTAATCGCTTCTGCTGCCACTGTGGGGAGCACGATCATGGATGCGCATGTGTGTAAACGCCGAAAACATAGCTCCAATATTTTCGTTTTAACGAAGAAACATATTTGATTTCCGATGAGCACGACACACAACGGCTGCATTGTGATCCGAAGTGACGCTTCGTGACGT